TTTCTACTTCTTTGAGAAATGTCTGTCATTTCAGATGCCCATTTTTGGATTGGGTCTTTAAATTTGGGAGGTCTGATCTTTTTAAGTTCTTTGTAGATTGGAGATACAACAGACTCACTGAGAAAGAAATAGGGCAAACAATTCCTTTCACAATAGCATCCAGAAAACTGAAATACCTAGGAATCAACCTAACGAAAGAAATCAAAGACCTTTTCCCTGAAAACTATAGCACTCTGAAAAGAGAGATTGAAGATGATATCAGAGTATGGAAAGACATCCCTTGCTCCTGGGTAGGAAGGATCAACATAGTGAAAATGACCATACTTCCAAAACTGCTATATAGATTCAAAGCAGTCCCAATTGAAATCCGAGCCACATACTTCATGGACCTTGAGAAAACAATACAAAAATTCATTTGGAACAGGAGACCCAGAATAGCAAAAGGAATTCTAATTAACAGAGACATGGCAGGGGGTATCACAATCCCCAACTTGAAACTATACTACAAAGCTACTGTGATTAAAAAAAACAGCATGGTACTGGCAAAGAAACAGACCTGAGGACCAGTGGAACAGATTAGAAGATGCAGAAACAACTCCAGCCACACTCAGCCATCTCAACTTCGATAACGGAGCCAAACACCCTGACTGGAGGAAAGATAGCCTCTTTAATAAATGGTACTGGAAAAATTGGGCTTCAACTTGCCAAAGATTAAAACTAGACCTGTATCTCTCACCATGCACTAAACTAAAATCTAAATGGATTAAAGATCTAAATATTAAAACAGAAACCCTGAACCAGCTGGAACAGAGGTTAGGTAGAACTCTTGAAGACATTGGTGTAGGAAAAGATTTTATGAACAAAACCTCAGTTGCCCATGAACTAGTACAAATAATCAACAAGTGGGATCTCTTCTTATTAAAAAGCTTCTGCACAGCAAGAGAAACCACCAGCAATGTGAAGAGACAACCCACAAATGTGGGGAAAAAATCTTCACCTGCTTTTCCTCAGACAAAGGCCTACTATCTCGAACCTACACCATTTGCTTTTGAGTCGAGTACTTTGAGAAGTACAGGGAATACTGAGGTACAGTACAAACAACAGCTCCCTGAACACTCAGAAACAAAACCAAGACATCACCAAGTGAGAAGTGCTCAGATGGCTGCTATAGAAGCTAGAATGAGAGCTTCTAGGACAAATTGGTGACCTGGTCAAACAACTCTTTCTTGAGAAAGGTCCAGAAAAGAATATTAAAGACAAGTAGTAATTTAAATATCTATATATTGGGCCAGGCAGCAAGATGACCCCAAATTGATCAGTCTATGGCATTTCCTTGTGTCACTTTTATGTTATTTATTATTAGTTCCAAATAAATTGAATTGCTGTTTAAATAATTGTGAAAGCACCTGGTTAAATTACTCTGCTAACTATACACCCTGGAGTCTACACAGTCCTAAGACACTAAATATAAAATACTTTATTGTATTTTTAAATACCAACTTTCAAGTTCATTATAGAAAGTGGTCTATTTTTAGGCTTAAAAGAAATTCAAGCCAACTTCTCTTAAAATTGGGCAGATATAGAAAATTTTCTTATATAGCTCCCACAGTTTCTATGCTATGATACCCCACTGAAATCTCCACGGAAAGCTTCAAGTGCTTCTTGGCTTAAACTTTTTCAAAATATGTTCACTTAATTTCTGTTGAGTCAGAAAATCATGTTGATGGATGAAACCAGTGAAGTATTCACATTTGGATAGTTAACCATTTTAATCTTAACTACAACATCATTCAAATGTGTTTTATAATTGCAAAATCTTCCTGAACTAGATGGTGATTTAGGAAAGAAAGAACCCTTAGAAGTTCATTTTAACAAATAGTTTGTCTAGTTGAACATTTCTGTTTTAATCAAAGATCTCAGTTTATGCAAATCTAAATGTGTATGTAAAGTATTTTGCCCAAGTACTGTTAATAAAGATCTCAAGACCATTGCCATCTTTTCTGATTTCCCCCATTTACCCCTTCTTAACTTTCTTGACACTTACTGGTTTTCTGGCTTATTTAGCTGTTCTTCTGTCTTAAACTTGATAGGAGTGGGAGTACTAGAGGTAAGTTTGGATGAGCCATCAAATTTTGTCAGTCTCAGATGATTGACATCAAGTCAGTTTCTTCTTTTCAGTTTTGGTTCTTTTTCTTAGCAGGAAATCCATTGCTTTCCAACCTAAATTCCTTGGAAAATTGGCAGGCTATCTTCTTGAACATACTGTCCACTCTTCAGTTTTTTCAACAGTTAGTTTGGTCACCCCTGCATATCCAGTGACCTGTGCTGTGCTTGCCATGTAGCAGATACTAAGTAAATATTCCGAGTATACTTTTAGCTACCTGAAAGTTACCATCAATATGGCCTGTAGATCCTCAAAAGCAAAATGATTACGTGAAGTTCTGGAGTTTGTTCCACCTTTATCACATGGAGGGCACACCATCAGCACCTCTGACATCTCCTCTCTCCTTCTCTGCAGACTCACATTTCAAGACTCCCTCCTGGTGCGGTGGCAGGACAGTCGGTTGCAATCGAAGGTGGGGTTTGCCGCTTGGAGAGCCCAGTGAACTGACCCTTCTGGCCGAGCATGAAGTGTCTGAGAGGCATTTCAGAACATGAGCTTTTGGGGGTTTTAAACTTCCTTGTTTTATAATTCTTATTGGAACCTTGTGCACCACTCAGAACACAAGTGCTGCTGTAGTTAGCGCTTAGTGACGCGCAGACCTTTGGTGGGTGAGCAGAATGCACGCGCTTGGACACGTGCATGGGTGTGTGTGTATGATGTGTGTGTGCGTGCTTGCTTCTCCCTCAATGAAACAGAATCTCCTCATTGTGTAACCAATGATTGGGAATGATCGTCTTTACAAAATGTGTGCTTTAACTGTTTACAAGTAAACCCTAAGGTTGCAGGAAACATTTTTTATTTCATAAAGAGTAAGTACCAACTGTCATTGATGTGATGTGTCTGAACTGAAGAGTAAATCTGCTTGTTTAAATGATTTGACAGTGGTTGTGCTCCATTTAATAGCAGTAATAAGTAATAAGGTGTTTTTATTTGTGAACCAGTTTAAGTAGATCCTATGGTAACTTAAACTGTTGTCTTCATCCCTCGTATGGGGCATTTTTCTTTAACAAAGAATGGTTTCAGTGAAACAATCTAGCAGAGAATTAAGGTCAGAACCTTTTTAAAAAATAGTCTTATTGATAAAGTTTGTACTTCTTTCCTCTGCTTTTCTAAGCTTCAATATTGCTTAGTTTTGAGCTGTATATACTGTATTATGAAAGACTATGTAAAGAGAACATACAGTAATGCACAGTCCTTAATTGTGTATAATGAAAATTATTTACAATGTAACACTGTAAATAAGAAAGCAAAGTTTATGGGAAAATTCAATATTATCTTTGTTTCTTGTTTAAATATATTTTTAAGATAAAGACAAAAATAAAAGAAACATATTACTAGGTTTGGTGTCTGACTCCTCTTTTTAGACTAATAAATTATCCTTAGAATGCTAGATTGAAGACCTATTTTTAAATTTTGTTTGTAAAAAGTTACTTGTTCCAGAAATCATACCGTTACCTGTCTTGCTGTTTCATTTGTTCAAAATTCAGTCTTATCTCGGTGCAGCTGTGGTAGAAACACTAGCAAGATGAAAGTTGAGCTTCCTGGATGATTAAATCCTCAATATGAAAATCCCTAGAATTTTCATTGCAATTTGATAAAAGTCACCATGGGAAGGAATGGAAGCACTTTCCTTTGAAAAGTCATAGCAGCCCTAAAAGCTCAATGGTTTCAGCTGATAAATTACTTCTAAATGTTATATGTAGGGATTCTGGAGCCACATAAGAAAACTGAGTCTTTCCTTTTGATTTTTTATGTAAGAAGTGGTTATCAAGAAGATACTAAAGATAGACTTGCTTAGGGGAGGAAGTTTCTCTGGACCATATAATCATGGCCCTGGGCAGTAACTGATAAAGCCTCAGATGAAATTATATACTTGACATCGATGTATGGCCAAATTATAAAGGAAAGACAACCAAAATGGAGTGGGTATAAATATATGAATGATTTGAGAGTTGCTGATTTATGTTCCTCACGCAGGCAATTACATTTGTCTCACTGTGTTCTCAGTAGACAGGTTGGTGCCATAGTATCTGTTTCTCATTCTTAATGAGGCTGAGAATTTAGGAAGAGATGGGCTGGCTGATGGGAAGTCTTCGGTTTCAAAAGTTTCAAAGACCTGTTACCTGTTGGTAGGATGTTTCCAGGAACTGGACTGGATCACATAAAACTATTAGGACACTTTAGAGTCTGAAAATCATCTGACCTATTTCACCAGGAATGCCATTTCTTTCATCTCCCTTTGAATTTATTCCATTCATATTTAAATGTTTGAGCTTGTTAAAGACCCCTTTTATGAGGAATTTAAAAACTGGTCAGTATAAAAGAGCACTACCCCTCCAAGAACAGTTTTTCAACACTTTATTCTCCGGTGTTCTAAGTACCTTTTTTTTTTAATTTAAGAAATACTATGAAGATAGCAGGGGGAAAAGTGATATACAGAATCATGGAAAAAAATGTACTAGATATATAAGTTCTTTCATTGTAAGATCAAATGTTAAGGGTTAGATATTAGAACCAGAGGATATTGACAGATACCAAGTCAACTTTGTTTCACACAAAAGTAGAAAAAGTAGGAACAAATAAGAAAATAACCTTATAATCTAGTCTGGCTTATGTCACCCAGGTTCTGAATCTGTTTTTAAGGTCTCTATTTTTACTGTGGATGATTTTGACTGTATGCCTTGTATTTTCTTTCTTTTAAGGGCTGAGCATTAGCTATTTGTTTCTCTTCAGTATAATTAAGCTTAGTCTGGATTCCTCAGTTCCTGTATTCCCTGTGACCCTCATCTGGGTTTGGAAATGGGGCTGTTCCAGGCTTGCTACAGAGCCAGAGTACATGCCCTCCTTCCGCTTCTGAGGTTCCTATGCTAAATGAAGACAGTGGTGGCCTGGTCAAGGCTTTGTCTTCCTCTCTTGTCAGCCCTGCCACTTCTTCCCATCCTCAGTATATCTGCCTAGGGCAGGACCTTTGTTGTTCTTCAATTGCCATTTCTGAATGTAATGAAGTCAAATTTTATTTCTTGGTACATCTGTTGGAATTGAGTGTAAAGTATGTATAAATAAGTTCCAAATACTAATCTGAGGTGCTTGTCTATGAGCAGAACAAATAGATTTTGGTTTATAGATCTGAGAACATCTCTCTGGGCTGCTCAAATCCCTTTCTTGCATAATTCCTAATTTTCTCCGAATGGTGATGTTGCATTCCAGTTACCTTCAAATAAATGAGATTGTTCTGCTTTGACATACTGAACTGGGGGAAAGGAGGAAGAAAGAAATCAGAGGAGAAGATTTTAGAAGGTGCTAGGATAATTCTTTTGAATTTTGTGATATTTAATTATAGTTTAATCTTGTTTTGAAAACCTATTATTACAAAAGCAAACCATTCTTATGAAAAGTAAGAAAACAGATAAGGGAGATCAAGAAAATAATTATACCCTACTTCTGTAGAGCCAACAGTTAACCTTATGAGAGACACTTTTTTTTGCATAGATTTTCTGTTTTTAGCACAGAAATGATGTTATGATAACCTCCCCAAATGGAGTTATTTAACATGTAGTTTTTTTTGTTTTTGTCTTTGTTTTTCCTTAAATTCTTTTTTGGTACATTTTAGGTGAACAATACATTTACATTTATCATTGGGTGCTTGTACCTGTACATGATTTATCTTGGTTCTTATTTTTTTCCCATTACCTGTGCGCCCTTCACCCGCTCCACCCTTCCCTATTTACATAGACTTTGTTTCCATTTTTTTTCTTTTCTGATAATTTTTCCTTTCCCTCCTTTCCTTTCCCCTTCCCTTCCTATCACCCCTACACCTTTGGACCTTTTCTTCCTATTTCAAATTATCAATTACTCATTTTAATCATTTTAATTCTCATTTAAACTTTCAGTTTCTCACACTAGAGAAACTATTCGGTATTTACACATGTGTGTCCTATTTATTTCACTTATGAGTATGGCCTCAATATGCATCCATTTAGCTATAAATGTCTCTAGTTTCTCATTCTTTATGGCTGAGTAGTGCTCCATTTTATAAAGAAACCACATCTTCTTTATCCAGTTTCCAGTCGATGGGCTCTTGGGCTGTTTCCAAGCTTTAGCTATTACAAACTGTGCTGCTATAATCATGGGTGCACATATATCTCTGTGATAGGATTCTTCTAATCCTTTTGGGAAGATACTCAGCAGGGGAAGAGCTGGGTCAAATGGGACCTCTAGTCCTAGTTCTTTGAGGTATCTCCATTCTGATTTCCACAGTGGTTGCACCAGTCTGCACTCCCACCAACAATGGAGAAGGGTTCCTTTATCCCCACACCCCCACCAGCATTTGTTATTTGTTGATTTCTTGATGGCAGCCATTCTTTCTGGGGTGAGGTGGAATCTCAGTGTTGTTTTCATCTGCATTTCTTGAATGACCAGTGATGTTGAACATTTTTTCATATGTTTATTTGCTGCTTTTTTTTTTTTTTTGTACCGGGGATCAAACTCGGGACCTTGCGCTTGTGAGGCAGGTGCCGGAACCAATGAGCTAAATCCCCAGCCCATTGCTGCTTTTAATTCTTTGTCTGAGAAATGTCTGTTCATTTCAGATGCCCATTTTTGAATTGGGTCTTTGAATTTGGGGGGTCTGATTTTTTTCAGTTCTTTATATATTCTAGATAGTAGTCCTTTGTCTGAGGTACAGCTGCTAAAATTTTTTTCCCACATTGTAGGTTGCCTCTTAGCTCTGTTGGTGGTTTCTCTTGCAGTGCAGAAGCTTTTTAATAAGGTCAGGTCCCAGTTGTGGATTCTTTGTGCTAGTTCCCGTGCTACTGAGGTTTTGTTCATAAAGTCTTTTCCTATGCCAATGTCTTTGAGAGTGCGACCTAACTTATCTTCCAGCAAGTTTAGTGTTTCTGACTTAATATTTAGATCCTTAATCTACTTCAATCTTAGTTTAGTGCATGGTGATAGGTAATGGTCTAGTTTTAATCTTTGGCAGGTTGAAATCCAGTTTTTCTAACACCATTTATTAAATAGGCTATCTTTCTCCCAGTGAGGGTGGTTGGCTCCTTTGTCAAAGATGAGGTGGCTGAGTATGTCTGGAGTTGTTTCTGCATCTTCTAATATGTTCCACTGGTCCTCAAGTCTGTTTCTTTGCCAGTACCATGCTGTTTTTTTTTTATCACAGTAGCTTTGTAGTATAGTTTCAAGTTGAGAATTGTGATACCCCCTGCCATGTCTGTGTTCCTTAGAATTGCTTTTGCTATTCTAGGTCTCTTCTGCTTCCAAATAAATTTTGGATTGTTTTCTCTAGTTCTGTGAAGTATATTGTTGGAATTTCAGTCGGCATTGCATTAAATCTATATAGCAGTTTTGGAAGTATGGCCATTTTCACTATATTGGTTCTTCCTACCCAGAAACAAGGGATGTCTTTCCATTTTCTTATATCCTCCTCAATCTCCTTTTTTAGAGTGCGGTAGTTTTCAGTGTAGAGGTCTTTTGCTACCTTTGTTAGATTGATTCCTAGGTATTTCATTTTTTGGGATGCTATTGTAAAAGGAATTGTTTCCCGAATTTCTCTCTCAGTGAGTCTGCTCTTTGTGTATAAGAAGGCTATTGTTGTTTGAGTGTTGACCTTATATCCAGCTACTCTACTGAATCTGTCAATTAAGTCTAGAAGTCTTTTGGTGGAGTTTTTTGGATCTTCTATGTAAAGTATCTTATCATCAGCAAATAATGACAGTTTAACTTCTTCCTTTCCTGTAACATGTAGTTTTTATTTAAAAATATCATTAAAAGTTGTCCATACTTATAAGTTCACACAGCATCCCATTTACTATATTTCCATATAGTGTTCGTTTGGCCTATTGCTGGAAATCCCTTATAGGAGTGGACATTATAGTTAGTATTTCTTGAGGATGCAGGTATGTGTGATGAGCACTTAAAATCTTAGCAAGGAATGCCAGCTTGGCAGACATCCCACAGTAGACACTTGATGCTGCCCTCGGCCTTACCATTTCAGTGTGCCCAAACAACTAAAGACTCATAACTGCACCTTTATTAATGACAACTTTTTCTGGAATTATGGAAAGCTGCCTTCCTGCACACAGCAGACCACAAGTGCCAGAGAATCAGCACTTCTCAGAAGCAAATCTGAATGTGCCATGAAAGTTTTGAGAAGTTTGTAGCCAAGTCAATGTTCAAAAGCACCAGACTGCTGGAGACAAGTGTACACTTTGAAGAAGTGGTGAATACATGAAGCTGAAGAGCAGCAATTCATCAAAGACCTACTTAGCATTTGATGGACATCCTGGAAGAAGTGATCTGGAATTGTGTGAACAGCAGCCAGAAGCAG